ATCAACAAATTTCAATTGATCATAGTTGAACATTGCAAACATGATACAAATAGTCATAACACAATTTAAATATTGCATCCCAACGACCATGGCAGTTTCTTTGTGAGTATACTTGGGTGCAAGAGGTGCCTATGTGCGTGCCATGTTTGTTTGTGTATAAGGAAAGCATAAGGCTGATGATTTACCATGCATTAATTGCTGTTGATGTTGGTCAAAGGTCTGCTGAAGTGCTTTAGGTACACTTCCATACTGAGTCCCGGATATATAGCCCTCAGAGGTTCCAGGTTCGTTCACAATCTGCATATTGTTCCCCATCATCCCCATTCTACCATTTAAAGACCCGTTGGCAAAACCATATGATTTCTGTTGCAAACCAGATCTGATATTACTACCCATTTGGCTGCCAATGTTTTGCAATATACGACTGTTTTGACCACCAACAAACTGCTTTTGTTGTGATGATTGTAACATAGTAGATTCAACAGTTGAATGACCAACACTACTGTTAGCAGAATCCATATTGATGTACGACTGGCTATTATTACTATTGCTATTGAATCCAGGAGTGGGGATCATCTGGCTTGCCATTCTTTGCACCCCCATAGATGACATGTTCCCACCAGAATTAATAGAAAAATTTGCGGAAGATTGTTGATACCCATTTGACATGGCTCCTGCATTCATTTATATCCAGGAAGCAGTTAGAGAAGTGCATCAATAGTTCCTAAAAGTACTTAGAAGTATCAAATTTGTACCCAGCAAAACAACCTTGCATACCACTCATAGGCATTATGCTCCCAGAGGTGGCAGATGTAGGGGCTATACCATCACTCCCACTAGACGAAATCATCATTGGATCAACAGAAGAAGTCATCAAGTTTGAGTTCCCAGTGTGAGATATCCCAGGGGTTGGTATCATCGTACCAACAGAAGAGGAAGAGTTGATGATTTGAGCATGGCGTTGACTGTGACCGTTCTGGGATGTACGCTTTATCAAATTACTAAGACGGAATTCTAAAGTACCTAGGTCTGTATACTCATCCTGCAGCAAGAAAGTGACAGGAGAAGTTAATGCAAATAATAATGACTAAAAAACAGAGAATGTCTATCGAATTTTCAAAATTGTACAGCCAAGGGAACAAAAAAATGAAAGGAGTAGTCTAATTGTAACTTCTCTTTGTAGTTTAGCGACATTAGTTTAGAGGCATTGAGAACTTGGTAACTCTAAAGGAAATAGCTCACCACCTTCGACAAAGCTTGTTTGAATAGACCCTCCTCCAAGCGTCTGGCAATATCTCTAAATTTCTGTTTCTGTGCTTCACCAACTGACTGATGCTGCCGCTGCATTATAATTGAAAATCTGGAAAGCATATAAATATGTTAAACAACTGAATGGAGGCCAAGAAGAAAATCCTAAATGATGGTGCCATATTAGAGGTTAGAATATCAAAAGAAGCCAGACCAGAAACCTACTGCTGAAGACCAGCAAGAGAGAAATGATAATAGTAACTCTTCATGATATACACATAAGACACAGTGAACATCGTGGGACAAGGTGTAACAGGGGTACAAGAAAAGTCGAATGATATAGTTTTATGATCTGAGAACTAAATTTTAGAAGTGCTCACTCAAACAAGTTTAATAATTGTTTGACATTGACTACACACTTCAAAAGGAAAAATGATAATCAAACAACTAGAGAAGCAGAAAGTAAAGACAAGCAAAATCTCTATTCAGTCAAGTCTGAGACTAGGGTCATAGCACCAAAATCCAAGGTTTATAACGGACTTATATATACTTGTGTAGATAATGAAGAATTACAGAGCAATCATTAACTTATAACTGCACCCAACAGCTGCATATGAACTAAAGTTAAAAATCTGAAGTTGCACAGGAATGGAGGAAAACAGATTGTGATGGTCCAAATGTTGGAGGGTAGACCGAGAGTTACTATCTGCAGAAGTTCCACGTAACTCAAGCCATCCAGAAGTATACTACAAAGGCTACATGAAAACTGAACAGAAGACTTACATTTTCTCGCGGATAAAAATGCGAGCTCTATTAAGATCAGTATCATACATATTGCTAGCGGCAGCAACACCGCCAGGAACAGCTAAACCCTGCATTTGAGCAGGAGGGAGAGGATTCCCATTTTGCTGGGCAAGCTGATTAGGGACTTGCCCTGAGATCTGCCCAGACACATGCGCCTGCACATTCATTCCTCCTCTATGAAGCTAAAATCTAGTCATGCTGTTTTAGCTCCAAGTGCAAGAATGAAAAGAGCCTCTGATCAAGTCCCAGCTTACAACTTTGACTACATCCAGCAAAAGCAACATGAACTTAGCAGCTGATCACATGAATGTTTAAATGAATCCAAAGGAGCTCAAGCTAATTGTGGTTAGTTGAGAAAATGGTGGCATTCAAAGAATCAGTAAGCTTGACAGAACTCAGTTTGTAACAGAAAAGAAGTTAAGGCAAGATGATAGAATCGATTCCAAACACAAACACCAATGAGCAACAAATTCAATCACAGCAGACATATAAACTTGAGCAAGTGAGATGGCCAATAGAAGCTAACGAAAGAGTATGACGCGATTGAACAACACAAGACACAGTGGGAGAAAAACACGACATGATTAACACCCCAAATTGCAGGGTTGTGCGCCAAAGCAAAAATAAAAAACCCTAAATTTCACAAACGATGAACTGAACGGAACCCAATTGAGTTTAATTGACAAATGGAGCACCTTGAGGAATCATCAACGCAGATAATGAAATTCGGGTGAAACCCTAAACGAACCTGAAAAAAACGAGGTTGCAGGATGTAATGGGAGGAAAAGTTATTGCGATCAAAAGGGCGTCAAATTGAGAGATGAAATTGACTGGCTTAGGGATTGTATTTGGAAAACCAGCGGATTATGATCGCAAACCACGATGCGAGAGGAGACGAAGCTTAGTGTGCTTGCGAATTGGGGAAAAGGAACGAAGGGAAAGGAAGGGGCGGGGCCGAGAAAGCGCACGTGCCAATTTGATGAAACAGACACGGTTCGCTTCTCTCTGCTGTCTTACGTTGTGTTTTTCTTTTTTTCCTCTTTTTTCTTTGAAAGGTTAAAAATATGCAGGGATGGCGGCGAGCGGACAATTGGAGACGGAGACGAACCGCGATTGATCGGAGAAACAGAAGGAAGAACGATCGAATGGGGAAGAGCGCTGTGGAGGGCGAGCGGACGACGACGACTGAGCGATTTTTGTTTTTTGGGCAGTTAATTTTTTGTGGGCTTTCCTGGTTTATTTTTCCTTTTCGGCGTTTAATCAAAGGGCATCAAGGCGTCTCCTTCTTTCGATCTTTTTGTCTCAGAGGGATTTCAATGTTGTCGAACTGGTTTATATGGTTGGACCGATTTAGCAAGTGATTTATTGAAATAAAATTATCATTTATGGTAATTAATGTTGGTTTAACAATATATATAGAGAGAGTGAATGAAATATAGAGTGCATTTGCATTCATTTGACATATTTAGAAATGTGAAAAATCATCTCATCAAATAGATTTAAATATCTTTGTAAAAAAAGATTTAAATATAAATCAAATATGTTTGAGAACAAATACTTACAATTTATATTAATATTTAATAAAATACAACATTCATAACAAATATTCATATTTAAATATAATATTTAACGTAAAAACCAAACGCTTATATTTGAATCTAACACATAATTTCATCATTTAACTTTCAAATTCATGAATCCTGTAGATATCGTATTGATGGTATTCCACCAATTTCATTATCATCACCAATTATACCAGGTTCAATCAGTCGGCATTCCACCTAGAGTGACAACCATGCTTTCAAATTTCAATAGTGAGGATGTTTGATAAATTTGACACCCACAAATTAAATAATAATAACATAATATCTTAAATAAAAACAACAATGTAATTCATAGGGGTAATTAATATTTATGTCTATCACCATGTTTGGATTTGGGAGGTCCTTTTGTGTTTACGAATTTGTGTTACTCTCGTGGTGCCCACTTGTAGAGCTATTTGTGACTGTTTAAATTGTTTTTTATGGACTTTATCGAGTGTTCTTGATGTGATTTATGGGAAAATTCTCATCGCAACGGAAAAAATATTGTTCATTTTCCGAAAGGCTAAACCAAAAAGTTTATGAACAAACAAAATTGTAATAATATGGATGACATCTTACGAATTGCAATGTTGCACCCCTTTTGAGCACAAGAAAATTAGGATAGTGACGACATTTGGATGTTACACTTACACATACCAAATGATTTAAAGAAAGATGTTGAAAAGGCATTTGACATTCTCCAATATCGTTGAAATTTTCCGCAATCCTGATCGGCCTTGAGGTGTCCCAACTTTGAGGAATATAATGCTACCTTGCATTGTGTTTACATTATATGATAGTTGGGAATGAACAAGATTGTTAGTATGATGAAGTGCATGACGATTTTGATTGTGTATTTCTTGAGACAAACTTGAATCAAAATAGGCTGACATTACAATAATATTTGGTTTGAAATGCTTTGATTCGTGGTGACGGTGGACATAAAAGGCTAAAAGAATATTCAATTGAACATCTTTGGAAGAAGGCCGAAATGTATTAGTGAAGTTTGTATCATATGTTTTGAAGTAACTGGGTATGTTTAAGAAAATTCTAAAGAATCTATATCTTTAAAATTATGAGTAAACCTACCAACGTAGCCTTGAAGCGATGTCGAAAGCCCTCTAAAGTTTGTATCATATTGCATTACCTATGTCGACGCTTAACAATCTTCATTTTACTTGGAGTTAATTTGCTTAGGCTGATTTCCAAATTCTTCATATCTTTCTTGAACAATGATGTGTCTTGTTGCCTCATGTTGAACTCCTTATCACTTCTTCTGGTGGGCAATTTGTCTACATTGCCATGATATCTCGTCACAGAACTCGACCATCATCGTTTAAAAGATTCCTATCAAGAAGCATACGTCGGGTAAGATCTTCAACTATAATCAGACCGTAACATTAGTCAACCTCAAACTCAGAAGCAACATGGAACCATTTTCAACAATATTCACTTGTATGATAAAAAAAGAAAGACACTGACATTATAAAAACAAGTTAATCTATTTCTGCAATCACGCAGATATCAGCATCGGCGGCACTTTGACGAAGGCAGCTGCAAGAGGTTATGAAAGCCTAAGGGCCAATTAGGAGTGAATCAATATTCCTTTTCCCTTCGGGGCCTTTGGTATACCATCTTGACATGTAATCACCGTAATTCACTTCTCGGTATCTCGAAGGAGATGACTGAGACACGATCACGGCAGCTGGGGATATGTTTCTTGTCTTTGATGGATCGTGGAACGTCGCCACTGACAACCTTGCTCCCGTGGAATTGGTTACCTCCCTGTGTACTGCACTCCTGTAATTGCCATTGGTGATGATCTGCAACCAAGCAAGCCAGCACCCTTATATCAAGTCGCACAGAGGCAACAGAAGGTGATGTTTACCAGCTGTAATTTCAGAAACGAATACTAAATGTTAACTTGGACTCTAATTCAGCCAAGAGTTGGTCCACTTTGAATCAATCAGTGGAAGTATGACTCCAGGTTGGTGGAGTTTGGAGGAATTGCTTGGCTGTATTGGAACATCATAAATGCTGAACGGAGTGAGAATTTGGCATGTTGTCCAACCCAGTGAAAGTAAGCGTTTGTGGCACTTTGTGCCTTGAACAGGACCAGATAGAAACTTAATTTACAAGAAGCATGATCTATAACAGCAGTCAAAATGGAAATGAATAGAATAACAAAAAAGACAGATATGAGACACAAATGCCATTTTATTCAATGAATTGCAGCAGGTACACCTCATACTGTACACAATGGGGGATGAAGAGTAGAGGAGGATGACACAATGGCAACTGGCAAGCACGCACCACAAATATGTTCTCAGCCATTAATCACCATTTCATTTCAACAGAAGTAGATCATATTCCATGCACCTCAAACGTTTCTGCTGCAACAACTGCGTGCTAGGGTACAACCTAATTTCAAGGACAAACCGATCACCCAAACACAAACAAATAATATCCCATGATGTTGCCAATATGATCTTAAACCAAAACACACACAACCAATTCAGAATTTTGAACCAAGAAGCCAACCATGTAACAGAGTTCAATCCAGAGATGACATTCAATGGCAATTATCACTTGGCAAACCAAAATAACAGCAGAGTATCATACCTCTGTTTGATCTGACACAAGGACAACAATGGCTTCAGGAAGAGGGTCGACAGTGTACCAATGGGAGTCTTTGAGCACTTCAAGACCAGAAACTTGGTCTTGGATCAGTAAAGTGAGAGCTCCGAAATCCGAGTGGGCCTGTAGACCCAAGGTGAGGTCTGGCTGAGGACAGGGAGGGTAATAACTGACGGTAATATTCTGATAGAACTCCCCAACAGCATCCTTTAAGCAAGAAGGTGGCAGTCCAAGACTCTCAGAGAAGATCCCCAGCAGCTTCTGGGCAACCAAAACCCAATCAACTGATCTCTTTCCCTTTTTCTTCATCTCCCAAATCCTGGACATGATCTGAACAAGAAGACAGCTAGGGCAGCCTGTAAAAATTGGGAGGGTAATGAGGCCAATTGGAAGGGTTCCGGCGAGAGAGAGGCAAAGTGTGATGGTCGAAATAGTCCCTCCAATCCAAAACCCCATGGTTTTCATCGCTCTCGACGAGCATCTTGCTCCCGTAGCCCTCCGCCGCGGCGGAATCCGGCGAGCAGGCGTACATGAGCTTGTCTTTCATGGGGCATTCGTTGAAGAAAGACAAACCGACCTTCCTCATATCGTCCAGTAACCGAATTGGCACCCCATGGTTCGTTACCTGGAAAGCTCCCCAATCCCTACAAGCCCGCCCAACTGCTTCCCGGACGGAATCTTCACCGAGGTCGATCACCGGAACACCTCCGCCGCTGCCGGACTTACCATCAGCGTCGCTATTCGGTCGATCGGAGGGAGGCTGGATGTATTGCGGAGGGACTTCCGATTTCCCAGCTTGTGCTATGCTCTGCACCCTCATTACGAGGCTCCCTTCGACTTCCATTCTGCCACCACCTGCTTCCTTCCTCCAATGAAGATCAAATCAACTGTTCGATTGACATAAAGGGGTCGTTTGGAAGTTGTGATTTCAAATGGTGTATTGATCTAATTCATGTATTTGTGAGATTAAGTCGTTTTTTTTTTTCTTATATAGAACTAGAATACATGCATTTACTTTTTGGAGGCCCCACCACAATCACTCAATATTGAGGGATTTACAATCTCTACTTTTTGTTGAGATTCTTCACAATCACTCAATAATAACTTTTTTACCTTTGGAACAAAAACACAATCTAAACCTCCAAACAAGATATTTACCTAATACATCAATTAATTCAATCCATCAAATGATAATACACTAATTGTCCCAATACATCAATTTGAAGAATCACAACTTCCAAACAACCCCGAATTCGGGATAAGTTCAGGTCCTTAAGCATAAAAGTTTAAGAAGTTCCTTAAGTGAATTCTGACCATTAGATTGATTTAAGGTAGTTAGGAAATAGTTATTCGTTATTTGGTAGTTAATAGTGATTGAGGGTATTTGGGGTAGTATGATTAATTTAAAACTAAAAATAATTGGAGAGGAAAATGATTATCGGCCAGCTGTTTTTTAATTTATTATAGGGATTAGGGTTTTGTTTTTATTTCTCACACTTCTCGTCGTCCCCACAAGTAGCTTGTCGCCGGCCATTGCAGCAGCTTCCCATCGTTCTTTTGCCGTTGAGCTCGAGCTTCCCGACGTCACGAAGCCTTTTCGGTTGAGCTCGAGCTTCCCGCGCAGAATATGGATCGCCTCCCGAGGTGGTGATCAAACCGCTCCTACAAGTTACCGTCTGGATCATTATCCAACTGCAGCCGCACATAACTTCTCAAACTCAACGGTTGTTCCTTGAATGGATCGTGAGCGGCTTCTCTTCATGGTCTCCATGTTGTTCATCTTGCGAACGTCGAACTCAAGGATTAATTGCTTTACGATTTCATAAGCAATGCTTCTTATCTTGAGATATGTTGAGTCTGCAATGGTGTAGAGGAATTGGGATTTGGGAGGCTGGAGGTCTCCACTAGCTATTTCCCAAATTCCCTTACACTGAAACACGAGATTTTGTTTTCATGCTTGAATGGTTAATAATGTAATAGTATAGTATTAATATGTTTTCATGCTTGAATGGTTAATAATGTAATAGTATAGTATTGATAAGTATATTGAATTGTTACTAATGATGCAATATATCAATAATAATTCATTTTATAAATGTTGACAGAGTCCTTGATAGAGGTATTGATTGGCTAGTTATGAACATGACGTGAAAGTGTGGATTGTTGTTAATAAAGATGATGTAAATTAATGATAATGTTGTTTAAAATGTTAATAATGATGTTTTCCATTTAAAGGGTAGGGTGTAAGTGTTATTTTTTGTAAGCATTTGTTAATAACACACAATATGGTTAATAATCATTAAATTTCGTCATTATTTGTGATTTTGCTTGCATTTTCAACAAAGAACAACTTAGTTATCAATAATTTACAATATTCTTATTAACCGTTAGAGATCATATTTTAATATTAACATTTTTAAAAAATTTAAACGAAATACAATATTCGTATGGAAGTTTTTGAAGATATCTGATTCTTAACATTAAGTCCAAACATTATTGATTTTTTTTGTGCTTGTTTTGAATGAGATATAATTTCGTTATCAATCATTTGCTTTATCATTCTTAACGGTTTGGTGGTTGGGGTATGAATGTTGGTTTGCTTGACTAATGTTTTGCACCTCAATGACCTAATGTTTGCTTGAGTGAATCTCAGGTGTAATATGCCACAAGTGTCGAAGATGTTGAAAAGAAGAGTTGTGTTTTATAACCACTGAAAACGACAATATAAAATGATACTATTTGACCTCAAAACATTAATAATGTCATTTGAAGTCATTGTAAGAGGCCATAGTTAGCTAGTTATGAACATGAAGTGAATCATTAATAAAGATGTTATAAATCAATGATAATGTGATTCAAACCATTAATAATGAAGAGCTACTATACTTTTTTTTATGAATTATACAATTGATGTTATACATTCGGTTTTGTCGCTAATGCCTAAAGGGCATTCTTTAATCTCTTGAGATAGAGATCTTTAGCATCGCTGTGGATGCCTTTTTGGGGTTAGATATAACCTGCCCTAGCAAACGTATATTGATCCGGTTTGATTGGGTCTCAAAGAATCTTCACGGATGTGCAAATTGACTTTACCAGATTTTCAGGTGATGGAACTATCTCATTTGCTTTTGGTAAAATTTATTATGCTAATACTATGAGAAAGTGTCTTACTCATAATGTTTGGTTGTTACCTCTCGAGGATATTCTCAACCGGTCATTAGGATGCTACTTCGAGGAAGTCTTCCCATTCTAAAGTCGGAGATATTTTAAGGGAAGTTCTTTCTCTCTTCTCGACTCCCTGTGTCAGTTTCGCGTCTTTGGTCCTCGGAGCTTTCTTAGAGCTGCCCACCTCGTGGCAAAAAAGGCTCTTTTATCAGGAGTCCGGTTGCATACGGGCTACCGTTCTTTATTTTTATCTGTTTTTTATATATTATGTTCGGCCATGCCCTGGGGGCTTATATTGGATAAAAAAAACCCATTAATAATGATGAGCATCATAATTTCAATAATTCATTCATAAGTGTTAACGATAAAAATTGTAAAGCGTTAGGGATTGAACTAAAATTATTAATAATGTAATAAAAAAATACTAATAAGTATATTGAAATCGTTAATAATAATGAAATGAATCAATAATGATCTATTTCATAAATATTGATAATGTCAATGCAAAACGTTAATAATGTAATTGCAAGTTTTGACGGAAAGAGTAAGGGAGAGTGTACATTTTTCATTTCAATTTTTTTTAAAGCATTAAATATTAATTTCAAATGTCATTAAATATTATTCAATTTTGAATTGCCATATGATTGCATTAAAAGCAGAGGGCAAGCTCGTGGGAGTTAGTTTCCTTTTTTGTGGGAGTTAGTTTTCATCGCCCCCAATCCGTTCTGTCAACGCTGTACGGAGATGCCGGAGACAATTCTGCATTTGTTGAGAGATTGCCCGCCGGCTATCTTTTTCTGGACCCGTCACGTCCCTGGCGCCATGCAGCACTCCTTTTTCAGCGCCGACCAAGAAGAATGGCTCCGCACCAATTTGATGAGTAATCATTCCTTGGATTCAGGTGTTACATGGGCAGCTTTTTTTGGCACTTCCATCTGGCTGCTGTGGAAGAACCGATGTACCTACTGCTTTCAGGGGCCGGGCGCTGCTCTTTCCCCGCCCTCTCTCGAGCACTCCATCATTGCTAGGATTAAGCTTTGGCATGATGCGTGGGAGGCCCCTCCCTCTCTCCCCAGCAACAGAAATCGTCCGGCGAACAGGGTTATGGCAGATATTGGATGGTCCCCCCCGGCTGCAGGTTGGTACACTCTTAATGTTGATGGCGCTTCTAATGGTAACCCGGGCCCTGCGGGTGCGGGCGGGGTCATCCGAGATTCGATGGGACATTGGATCGCAGGGTACGTGGCTAATATCGGGAGCACCACAGCTGCTCACGCCGAGCTTTGGGCCCTCATGTATGGCCTGGACTTGGCTTGGAACCATGATTGTCGAGCCCTTCAGGTTGAGACGGACTCCCAGCTGGCCTTGCAACTTATCAACTCGAGACACGATCCGGTACATCCGTATGCCACTCTCCTTGCAGCTATTCGCAGGAAGCTTAGTCGTGACTGGTTGGTTCGCCTTACTCATACATACCGGGAAGGGAATAGAGTCGCGGACTGGCTCTCGAAGCACAGTCTCGTCTATCCCTACGGTATGCATGAGCTGGGGAACCCATCTCCAGGTGTGATGTCGATTCTGCAGGATGATGTTATGGGAGTCACCCATCCTCGTCGGGTGACAGCCCACTCCCCCCTCTCTCCCATGTAACCGTGCTCTTTTTCTCGGCCTCGGCCTCCCGCTAATGCAAAAAAAAAAAAACTAATCATTTTAATTATTGGTAAAATTAATTATTTTCTATAATCTCTTATTTGCCCTTCTAGTTAGTTAGACCTCATTCTTCTCTCTCCTTTTCCTATTGGCCAACATAAACTTAAGGACCGGATCCTACCCGCCCAAATTCTCACAACAGTTTCAAAAAATGAATGTGGTTTGCAGGATCAAGATTCAAGACGGAACTTACCCGCCCAGGTATAAGTGGGCCGGACTGAAGGCCCAAAACCAACGGCCCGTATCAAAATCAAAATATGAAGCCCGTTACCTTCTCACTCCAAGTCCAGTTCCTCCGCTCTCTCTCTCTCTCGCGCTCTCCTCTCTCTGCAACGTTCTCTCGCTCAGCTCTCGCGTTCGCGCGCTCTGTTTCTTCTCGCTTTTCTCTCTGCAAACCCTAAAATCGAAAAGCATCGCGTTGAATTGCCTACCGTGGTGGAATCGGAGGAGAGTTAAAAACCTATCGTATAATTATTCGGCAATCGGATTCCGACGACCTCAGTGGGCGGTAAAGCGAAGAAGAGATACAAACTTCAGCGACTAATTGGTGCCACAATTTTTGCCGGGGCAAACCCTAAATTGTCGTGATTGGAGATAGTGCGCGAGCTAGTGTCAATTCTGCGTTGCCTGAGCATCGCATTGTCGAAGATAGGGCGTGCAGGAGATGAGATATCATTAAACTGGGAGTAGGAGACGCGGAGAAGTAGTAGTAAGAGGCAGAGGTGGCAAGTGAGGATGAGTAGGCTGTCCTTCCGGCCTCGTCCGCTTGACATTCACAAGAAGCTCCCTATCGTAAAATCGGTAAAGGAATTTGAAGAAGATGATTCAACTCCCACTTCTACTCGCAATTCTCAGCTGCTTCGGGTTGCTGCTGCCGATTTCGACAATGAGGTATAATTCATTTCTCTGAGCTGCATTGCTCTGCCGCTAACTACTCTGACCGATCACTTGGGTCTCCATTTGGCTTGAGCATGTTTGGGGCTTTCTCTCGTCTCCAATTTTTTCTTCTTTTCTTATCTTCCTTTCTGTTTTTAAGGCGCATCATCCCCATGTTCCTACCAAGAAATTAGCTTCCGAAATACCTACACCCCAATTTGATGCTGTTGATACTTACGAACGAGACTATCAGCGCACGTTCGCTCAGCCCAATTCTTACATTCGAGCAAGGGGAGGTCAGTGACTTTTGTTTGGCGTTCTGCTGCTGCACTTGGTCATCATGTTTGGTATTCCGCAGAGATAGGATTTATAATTCTTTTCCTTAACTTATAGTCTAAGAAACTATTTATTTCCATAGACTGAAGTTTCTAACCGCAAATCCAGTTGGCAAATGAAAATAGAACTCCATGTTTCCTTTTTTGTTTGATTTCAGTTTCCAATCAACCCAATTTATAGATTGGGTTATTAATGGCATTTAGAGTCTATGCTCTGACTAATTGTAACTCCTGTGTTCCATTGCTAATTTTTTTGCAGCTCGAGCTGAGATCGGAGAATTTGTTGAATATGATATTGACAACGAAGATGAGGATTGGCTTCAAGAGTTCAACAAAGACAGGAATAACCTTTCTCCTGAAAAGTAAACATTAATCACCGGCTGTTTCAAAATTGTTATTAGTTTGCCTGGACATGCTTTAGTGTATGACTGTGTATCCAAATGGCAATCGACCTTTTGCTTCTCTAGCTCAACCACCCCTGTGTATTCTATGCCTGTTATAGTCTGTGCTGAGGGTTTCATTTGTCAGTTTCGTGCTTTTATTTTGCTTATGGGATATGTTTTGCCTGCTCAGTGCATCAAATTTCATGTAGTTTGGCTTATTTCTCTTATTAACAATGTTCATTTGTCATGCTGCATTGAAGTTCTGGAAGGTATTGTTAGAGGAGTTTTAATTGGACATTTTGGTGATCCCATAACATCTTTCAGGCTAATAAAAGTCGAGCAACAGTTTACTGGATAATCTCCTTATACTGCTATTGCCTATTGCTGTAGGTTTGAAGTTCTTCTATTCAAGTTAGAGGTGTTAGATCATAAGGCTAGGGAAAGAGCTGGAGTTATAACACCAACACTTGGTTCTCCCATCCATGTACTTCTACAACTAGATGCTGCTAGTGAGGTAAAACTTTGTTTCTGTATCTGTCTTCATGGTTAAAGAGTATTATGGTTAATGTATCAACCGCGAGTAACTGCAATCGCATTTAAGATGAAGTACATAGAAAATGCCTCTTTGCCCTGGGATGGTCATTATACCCCCTATAGATCTGGGAGGCTTTGTTGTAAGGTTGAGCTTTGGAGGTTATTTTGTATACACTATTGTATTACAAGGTTTTAGATGTCAAATTCTATTGGTGTCACTGGACCCCAAAATTTTTTTGTTTTTGTTTTTGCTTTTTTAGGGGAGGGTGTGTGTGGGGGGGGGGGGGGGGGGGGGGTGGGGGTACCCTTGACAGTTGACTCGTTTACAAATCGGTTACTCCTGCATTCTGTCACTTCCATTATAATTTTCTTCCAGTGGTCTATGATTATAATTTGCCTTCATTTCTCAATTATTCTTTTATTTTTTCCCTTCCACTTGCAGGCACTGCAAGCTCAGTCTGTCAGATATGTGGTTCTCCAGTCGGTTTATAACTACTGGAAAGAAAAGGTTGTATTCTATATCAAATCAATGATGATGGAGATATAGAAAATCATATCATGAACTAATTTGAATATTCAGTAAATACTAAATATGAACTTGAGATTGTAGAGTATCGAAGAAGTTCTGCAGCAGATGTTAACATTCATCATTTCCAGTAACATTTAGCTGGCTTTATGCTTCTCCTTGTTCTCTAATGAAGATAAGTTTCCAAACAAGCCCAAACTGGAGACTTCTAACTAACAAGACGTGCAAAATCAATCTTCTTCCCCTACCTGAGTTTTACGCCTTTAACTTGTAGGTCCTGTAATTGTACAGCCTATTTTTCCTTCTATCGCTTTCACTAATTTAGAGGTGTTACTCTGTGTCTTAGTTGCCTGGTTGTTGGCCTTTTTTGCAACTGGTCAGTAGTTTGCTATCCCACTTTAAGTACTTTTATCATCACTATCCTTTGGCTGGTCGAGAATAATTTGTTACAATATCACCTTTGTCTTGCTTAATATTTGACCAAACAATGTCTTTTGATGTTAGGCACTTAGGCTATGTCTCCATTATTTGAGCAGTTACAGTTATCAAATCCATCCTTATACAGTACCTCTAATACGTGTTACAACATGATCCTCCTTAAATTTTAACAAGGGGAAAGGAACTGAAACATTGAAAAAACTATTTATGTGTCAATATGGTTTTTGCCTTTGTTTTTGGCTGGATGATTTATAATCCCTCTTTTTTTTTTTTTTTTTTTGCCTGGGGTTGTGCAGGTGTGTTATTTATATTACAATGTCAATTATCAAAGTTTAGTGTTTAACAGTTTCGTTTTTCCCCTGTTGTGGGCAGCGTGAAAGATGGCAAAAGCCTGTTTTACGCCGACTGCAGGTTGGTATTTTCCTTTGCTACTGTGTAATTTTTTTAGATTGTTTGTAAAATGTATTCTTCTTATACATATCGATATATCGTGTTGTTGAACTTTACGAGTCTCTATAACCTGGAACTACTTGTAGACTTTAGAAAAAGGATAGTTCGATTCAGCTAGTTGGGGTTTCATGACTACTCCATACTCGGAGAAGCTATGGATGTCAACAACTAAATTATTGATTTCCCTCCAGAAGGACTAAAAATACAATCATAATTCGTCGAGGTGAGGAAACTAGGAGGATGTGATATACTAAGAGATCCACATTAGATTAGACATCTATACACCAGAATTCTTGGACAATTGTGATAGAAATAGATGATGCCATAACAACCATGGGTCACACATGCCCAAAAAAGAAATGTTGGCCACAGAGAAAAACATGTTTCTTTCTCATGGTGACTTGTGGTTTATTGTACTTTGTTTCAGCGGGTTTTGAGGTCTGTAGAAACAGGTTGCTTGTGCTTTGGTTGACTTTTCTTGTACGGATTTCTGCACTTTCTTATTTTAATGCCATCACTTTCATGGTACAGCCTCCTCCCCCAGTGAATGACACAAATCCATACAATGTCTTCCGGCCACGAGAGAAAGCACACAGACTGCATACAAGAAGGGTAGGTATATCCGTTTACCATTCGATTCTCTAATTTTTCCGGATAGCTCTACAATTGTCCATTGATATGAAAACTTATAGTTAACTACCTCAACGCTTAAGACTCTCAATGCTTCTCTCTACAGATGCAGAGGAGGGAAAATAATGTACAATCATTTGAAAAGCTTCGGCAGGTCAGTGTTGATATTTCTTTTCAGTTTAGTTTTTCTTTGTAAAGCTACACTTGTCTACAGGTTTGGTATAACATAGAAGATCTCAAACACTATATTCTTTAAGGTCTCAACTTAGTAAACCTGTATGATTGTGATGTTTGGACTCAAAGAATCTGCTCATAGCTGCCAAAGCCAGCCAACTTTCTACTTATTTGTCTTGTGAGTTGTGAACAAGCTTCATGCTTTCCCAAGGCGCTTTGGCTGTTGAGAAACGATTTATCAGTGAAATGCTGTCATTTAAACTGCCACCTGAGTTTTAGTTGCAGTGTCCAATTTGTGTGGTCTATGGGGATAGAACCATTATCATGTGTTGTCTAGGGAGCATGATAATCTTGAATTGTTGGTGAAGATGTGTCGTGCCCTCTGGTAGCTGGATTCTATACCAACTTGACTCGGGGCCTTGCGCTTACTATTTTGCTTTTCGTTAGATTGTTGATTACTAGGTCGTCACTCTCGCACACTTATATATATATATCTACATGCATACTTACATATATCATGGTTCACGCAGCACTGGCAAATGTTCTGTTCCAAAACAAATAGGGTGAACATTCTCTATTGTAGTAAAACTCACTGTCATTTTGTATTGCTATTTTCAGGTCAGGCGGAATCTTGAGCAAGCTAAGACTATACTCGAGGCTCTGATTAAGGTGCTTGATTTGCTTAAACTTCATTGACATCAAAGATTTAATCAATTTAGGCTCTTTTGTTTTCTATTGTGGAATTCTGTCCTAAGATTATGCTTACTTTTGCAGAGAGAAGAGAAGAAAAGAGAGGTGATGGAGAGTGAAGTCAGTCTCCAGAGGATCCAAATCAAGTACAAGGTATGCGTTGATGTCTGGCTTGTTTTTGCGCGTCTCTTGTTATCTGTATGCTGTCAGCATCTGACCTACTATTGAATCTGTTATTGGGTTATCCATTACCAATGTGTTTAATATGGCGAACTCTAAGGTGCATCAAAGAACAGGCCACACGAACCAAAATATACAGAAGCAAGTAACAATAGCTCATTAATCCTTTTAGATTGCCGGACCAAAGTAATAGAGAGATTTGAACCAGAAAACTTGGTCATTTAACTGATAGCCAGAATGACACGTGTTAGTTTCAACTCTTTGGGTTTGTTTTTTCCTGTTGATGTATACAGCATGAGACAGAGCTACTTGAGGATAGCTTGGCTCTTCATGGATTTCAACCCATCTCCAAGTTTGTGTCAAGCGAAGATGAAATTCTTGATTCAGAGGACTTTGCGAACAGTCGTCCACGCACGCGTCCTCCCCTTCCCCTGCAAAATCCGACCCCCATGATAACGGATTCCAGAAACATTGTCAACTTCCCACCAGCAGCAACCATGAAGCAAGAGCTACGTCGGAGGCATGCAGTCGACGGATGGCTCCACAAAATGGTGAGTGCATGGTCTCTCTTCCCTCATTGTCTTTTTGTTGGCCGACTCTCATCAGCAGAAACTGCGAGTGCATGAGCTCCTCATCATTTCACCATTTGTTTTTAAAACGCAGGATCCAAATGAACCACTATTGTTGTTCACGAAGCCTCTTGTACCCGAGAAGTTGGCATCTGCTGGGATAGTACCGCCAGCAGATCCATCGTCGAGGAATGGGGGATCAGCAGTGACGTACAGATTTCGAGGAAGAATCGGGCGAGGTGGGCGAATCGTATTTGATAGATGGAACCCACTTGCACAAACGCCAATTGATGTCGGTAACACTTTATACATAGCCCCTCGACCCCGCCCCTCAACTTACAATTAATTTCTTGCATCTCTAATTCTTCCCCCACAAATTGTTGTGAGGTGGATTTGTGAAACCCTCAAGTCGAGAGAGTGTAGGGGTGGTTGTGGTAATTTGTAATTGATAGAGTGTAGGCGGGGAAATGCCTTCCCAGGGTTTATGTAACGTAAGTGACAAGTAACAACCTCACTTCAATCTCTATCCCTGTTAATTCACATCTTCTTGTTATGTAACGACCAGAATCATTCTCTCTGTGAGTTACTATAGCCCATTCTAGGAGCTTATAGCAAGCCTTATGGTAATAGATTACCAGTATGAAACTCAGGTGAAAGGTCTTGGAAGAGTTGCATTATTTGACAATTGATATATAATCAGTAAACTGCGACTCGTGCTTTCAAGATTGGGATCTACCTTTCTTGCCCTAATTACTTTGTAATGTTGGCTCGCGAAAGTATTAAGAGCAGTTGTATACGATTTCCTGAACAATAAGATTGTTCGCTGCCTGTCAAGATGCAAGATGCTGGATCAGAGTATTGGGAACTTTTCTATTATACATGATTGCCAGAGAAACAATTGGTGAGATGATCCACTCAGCATCTCAACTTTTCATTCATCCTTCCCTTTTTCTTTTACCCCTTCTTTTCCAATAGTGTACAAGGTTACATGAATCTTTCTTACCTGAAACGCAGAAAAGAATGTCTATGAGGTCGGAACAGGTGGCGGCGTGCGAAGCACTTGTTGCAAGAATCGTGCGGCAAGGCGTTGAGTTACTCCACCGATAACACGTCCTCCTAGACTGCGTGCCTCGGGCTGTTGAAGGACCTGTATGGAAGTCCATGTTGGCACTTATTCAGATGTATACTGATATGAGAAATTTTACAGAACTGAGCAACGAGGCTGATCTTTAATACCTGCAATATGGGTTGCAAGAGGGCCGGGTCAAAATCTTCAGAGGTTCGTAGAAGTCCCCATACTCTGACAACTAGGTCCCTGAACTCTCTAGTTCTTAGCAGTTCAGCATCACTCATCGTGAGAGGCCCTCTTCCATTCCCATATAGGATTGGAGGTCTTAACATGGCGGGTATGGAATTGTAAGTATCAACAACTGAGGTCAAAACTACAGCTTCTGATACATATACAGCTTCCTTCACAACCAATCTTCTCAATTCTTCACCATCTGGGGCCAGCAGTAGTTTCAATACAGGCTGTAGAGCATCTCTTGCTGAAAAATCTCGGTCTTTTCTTCCTTGCTCAAGTAGATTTTCAAGTCTCTTCCATCTGGACCACGGGTAAAAAAGATAACTGAAACATCCAAGCATGCTGAGGAAATAAACAAAGGAAAGCAGAGAGAGGGATCGCACACGTGCCTGAACCTCCCATCTTTAAAAAGCAGCTCGACAAGAGCATCTCTAAGATATGGGTTTGGATCAGTGAGAAGCCTTTTTGCGAAATAAGGGTATGAAGCAGCCAGAACCTTGAAGTTAGGATCAGCATAAAGGGCCAATCCTTCAAGCACGGTGAGGGATCTCAATATCAGTGCATAATAAGCTGGAACTGCATGTCAATCCAGTATAACATCAGCATCCATGTAAATGACACAATCGAGTTCAAAGAAGCAGTGCAGTAAAATTATGTCAAGCTCACCATTAAATGGGTACTGATAGAAAACAGCCCCCAGTCCATCCACTAGGGTTTTGAAGTTAAGCTCACTAACTGTATAATCGAGTGCATCATCAAAGAAATTCTGCAATGCTGGAACAATTGGGGTAACATCAACATCCGTGGAGAGGAATTTGAGAGCATAATAATCCTGAGCCATAGCTTCATAATCTCTGTTAACCAGGTGTACCACGTGACCAATAATGGCATATCTTGCCTCTTCTGGGGTCTCACTCATCATTCCAAAATCAAGAAAGGCGAGCTTCCCCTCCGGTGTTGCTAAGAGATTACCAGGATGAGGGTCTGCATGGAAATATCCATATTCAAGGAGCTGCCTGAGGCTGCATTGTATTCCCGTGTTCACAAGATCCAGAACCTTTAAGCCCTGACCCTCTATAGCCTCCTGTTGATTTAACTTAACACCCTCAACCCATTCCATGGTCAAGACCTTGCCACTTGTATACTCCCAGAAAATATCAGGAACTAATATTTCTTCATTGTCAGCATACAACTTCTTGAATCTCCTTGCATTTTGTCCCTCCTGCACAATGATCCTGTGCAAATTTACATCAAAACCCAAACGAAGCTTACCAAAAGATACTACTAACACATGCAGCTGTTCAGCTGACAGAAGGATGCCTAAGGTATGCAAAATGGCAAACATGGGAGTGGAAGCAACATTGGAATCTCTGAGAAATAACCTGGACATAGTTGAGCTCCTGGTAAACTCTGTATGCAAATTCATCAATAAGAGCAACAACATCACTGGTGATGAAATCAACGTATTTGTTGATCAATCTGCCGAGCCCCCTGACGAGGTAGAAATCAAGACCAATAGCCTTCTCGATGCCGGGGCGTTGCACCTTGACAGCAACAGTTTGGCCAGAGTTTTTGAGTTGAGCTTTGTAAACTTGGCCGAGACTCGCAGCTGCAATAGGAGAAGGCGAAATGGTTGAGTAAATGGAGTCGAGAGAAACCCCCAACTCTCTCTCGATGCAGGCAAATGCCTCCTCATCAGGGAATGTGGGCAAGTCGTCCTGTTACACAAATAACGGTGAGGAATTGGCTTTGAGAAAATTCTCGTCCCAAGTGTTCTTCAAATTGTTAATGTAGCTACAGAGGATGGGAGAAAGGAAAGAAGAGGAAACCTGAAGCTCAGAGAGCTCTTCCAGATACTCGGGAGGGCAGATATCAGGCCTGGTGGAGAGTCCTTGCCCCAATTTGACGAAAGTCGGTCCTAATCGAGTGAAAATCTGCCTAAGCTCCGCCGCTCGGACTCTCTTATTCTGATCGAACACTCCATTTCTCTCGTCCAACCACAGCTTCAACCCAAACGAAACTAACGCTATCAAAATCTCTATCGTCCTCCTCAAAACCTGGAGGTGAAGAGAGACGGAAAGTTCAACTCGAGCACGGAAGAGAAAGAAAGAATGAATCGAAATGGAATCCGAAACCAAACCTCGATAGGTCTACGGCCATATTTGTTAGCAATAAGCTCCGGGGTGAAAATGGGAGCATCGGCGGCACGAGCCATGGCTCTAGCCTCCGCCTGAATATCTTCAGATTGACTACCTCCACCTCCTCCTCCGGATCCTGCACCGCCTCCGCCGGACACGAGTACCAGCGCGCCGTTACCGTTGGAGGCATTATCCCTTGCCGCATGCGCTATTTTGACCGGCCTCGATTCCACAATGGCCGCGCGCGGGGTCTTCAGAGAAGGCGGCGCAGGCCTCCGCCGCGATGGTGGCGTGGTCCTGAAGTTAGGCAGTGGTCGCACAGCCAAGGAGCGGCCGCCGGTGGAAACGAGGGTCATCATCGCAGCAGCAGCACTAATTAGTTAGTTCCCCCCTCCGCTCTCTCCCCGGAGCGAGGGCGAAGTTGGAAACGGCGAGGAGAATTGGAGTGGGAGAATTGATGATTTTCGTCCTGTGTTGTACTGTTTGCCTTTTTGCAGGCAGCAAAGCTTCTGGCTCCAACCACGGAATCGTGTCCGTCCAGCTCCGTCTGTGAACTGTATGCAATAATACTCACATTGAGTGGCCGGCGTTTTGACCAGAGAGCCGTGGAGGGTTGAAATGGCAAGGGAAGTTAAGTTCAGGTATCTGATCGGAACTTTTCTACGGCGGCATTTCCATTTTCCACCCAACAGCTAACGGTGAGCTTCACCTACTAGTAATCTACTACGACTTCACTTCACCCCACAGTTTAATGTCTGTTTGATGAGATTTCATTCATTACTGCAAAGAGCCAAAGAGGTTCGTTGCCGCCCCTATTCGGGTCGGGTCAGGTCGGTTCCCACTCGGGTCCATAAAGACTTTACCAGGCCCCACTTGGACTTGGTACTGGGTTGGCATACCAGTCACATGTTCTGGGGGAGACCAGAATCTGAAATTTGGTATCCAAAGTCAAAACTGCAACAAACGGCCCAAATATCCCCCATCTTCCTCCTGCAGGCCCGAGAGGCCCACGGTCTAGTGGGCCGGACCCGGTCGAGAAAGTAAAGACCGTCATCGTCATGGCATCACCGCAGACAGCAATGGTCAGAAAACCCAGGTTCCCCGCCGCCGTTTGCCCAGCCCGCCGTCCAACTCGGAGAAGAAAACATGGCGGAGGACGCGAACGCGGTAGAATCGCTGTGGGAAGAAGTGAGAGAACTGAGCTTGGGGAATTCAGTAGAACGACTGGACTCGCCGCCGTCATCGCTCGACTTCCTCCGCCGCTTCGTCTCCGCCAACAAGCCCTGCATCATCTCCAACGCCGTCTCTCATTGGCCGGCACTCTCCCTCTGGCAGGACCACAACTACCTCACCCGATCCCTCTCCGATTCCCTCGTCTCCCTCCACCTCACCCCCGACGGCCGCGCCGATTCCCTCGTCCCGCTCTCTTCCGGCTCTCTATGCTTCGCCTCCGCGCACGTGGAGCGCGTCCCTTTCCCTCGCGCTCTCCAATTCGTTCTCGACAGCAGCAGCAGAAAGAGCGAGGGGGCGAGTACTCGAGATCCTTCTATCGCCTACTTGCAGCAGCAGAACGATTGCTTCCGGGAGGAGTACTCGGCGCTGAGCGGCGACTGCGATCCGCACATACCTTGGGCGACGGAGGCTCTCGGATGTCCGCCGGAGGCCGTGAATCTTTGGATTGGGAACCATTTGTCGGAGACGTCTTTCCATAAGGACCACTACGAGAATCTCTACGCCGTGGTTTCCGGGGAGAAGCATTTCTTGCTGCTCCCTCCTACTGATGTTCACCGGATGTACATTCGCGATTACCCAGCCGCTCACTACTCTTGTGATCTGGTACTCTTTTCTCCACCTTACTTTAGGGTTTGGTGTTTTCGACGATTCAATTTCGTTTACTTGGGTTTATTGAATGATCAATTAGGAAGGCGGGAAATTTAGGTTGGAGATGGAGGAGCCGGCGAGGTTTGTTCCATGGTGCAGTGTGAATCCTTACCCTTCACCGGAGACCAAAAAAGTCGAAGTTTCTAAGTTCCCTATGTATTTCAATGGTCCAAAGCCATTTCATTGTACGGTCAGGGCAGGAGACATTCTTTACCTGTAAGCTGCTGCTGGCTGCTGCTACTACAATGCTTAGCATTTGTGAAATGCAAGTTAAAGGGGTCAGTAATTTCAGATGTTTTTGATGCAGGCCTAGTATGTGGTTTCATCATGTTCGACAGAGTCCAGACGAGAGAGGCTGCACCATTGCCGTAAACTACTGTAAGAATTTGAGCTTTGATGCTAAGATTTTTGGGTAAACGATCATATGTACTAGTTAGTTGCAGAGGCTAACTGTCGGATTATTGTGTAAATGTGGCAGGGTATGATATGCAGTTTGATATCAAGTATGCTTATTTCAACTTCTTGCAATCGATTCATCACAGACCAAGATCGTCAAGAAACAGATTGGAAGACTTGGATGAGGATGCCGATGAAGATGAAGATGAATAAACTCCGACATTCCCATCCAGTGGCATGTTACAGTTTTGAGTACAACCCCGTGAACCAGTGACCCATGAGAACGATTTGAGCTGTACGAGCAGAAGATGGTTCGACCTTGATGCCATCAACTATCAAAACAGATTCTTGGAATTCATGTATTCTGCAGTTTATGATTACCAAACGGACGAAACCCTCAAGGAATGAATGGGTGAAAGTTATACCCGAAGTTGGAGTGATTTTTGTTTCCTTTCATTTGGCACAAGTACTGTCTGTAACGTAAGCTGCCAAGGGTTTGGAGCCGGTTAGGATACTGGCTGACCAAATTCCGAATAGAAGGGTTTCTTCGTTTTAATGAATTTAGGGTTCGTTAGGAGCAAGACCCAAATGATTTCATTGGGAGCGAAATCAATCATTTTCGCCAGCTGGTTTGAGAGCTTTCGTTGCAGTACCGGATTAGCTACGAAATCGGTTGATGATCAATGGCTTTGTCGAGACTACACACAAACGTGGTAGGACTCGGACATCTCCAGCCAACTTGCGCCGGCTACCCCGGACCAGACGACGCGGCGCCATCACCGGCAAGGCACCAACTTAAGTTGCAGTTGCCACCGCCAAGGAGACCATCAACTCCACAACGACTGCATCTTCAGCAGCAGCAGCAGAAGCAGAAACCCATTGTTCCTTGCACGCCGACGAAGCCAATCAAAGGCACCGATAACAGCGAGGAAGGAGACGCAGACGTTGGGTCCCTCGCTCCTCCTCCCCGGAAAAACAAGGCCGGCTTCGCCGCCGACGTTCTGCGTCTGTTTGACACCCTATGCCTCCCTGTTGCACCCGACCTCTGCGTTTCCCTCATCAAAGAGTGCACGAACCAACGAGATAAGGCCTCCGCTCTCCAACTCCATGCCCGCTTCACCAGTTCAAATGGGCTCCTCAACGAGCAGGAGGTAGCCTTTCTGAACCGGCTGCTCCTCATGCACGTTTCCTGTGGTCAATTTGATTTAGCCCGCCAGCTGTTCGATCAAATGCCTGGTAAGAGAGATGCGATCTCTTGGGCAATCATCATTACAGGTTACTCCCACGATGCTCAACACGAAGAATCTATCGGCTTCTTCATCCAGATGCTACGTCATGACTATTCCTTGCTGCATTTTCCAGAGATTGCAATGGCTTCCGTTCTCGAGGCATGTGTGTATACTGAAAACCAAGGTTTAGGGAAACAACTTCATGGGCTGTTGTTTAAGTGTGGATCTACTTGTGCTGATGGCTCGTGTCTGGGTGTCTCTTTAAATGAACTCCACGGAAATTTGGGGCCTGTGAAGAGTGTGAACCATGTGTTTGATAAGTTCCTTCAGTGTAATAGCCTACCCATCTGGAGTACTAAGCTAGCAAATAGCTACAGAGAAGGGCGTTTCAGTCAAGTCGTGCACGATTCCAACCGGATGGGGAGGGACGGGATATGCAGAATTAGCGTTTTAACCACTGTACTGAGGGCTTGTGCTAAGATGGACGATGGTGGGATATCTGGTCGACAAGTCCATGCGATTGCCATCAAGCAGGGCTTGGAAGGGAAGGTTGTTATCCAGTGTGGACTGATTAAAATGTATGGTAGTTGCGGGATGGTCGAAGAGTCCAAACAGGTTTTCAAGCTGATCACTGACGATAGAGATGATGCGCATTGGAATGCTATGCTAACATGCTATCTCCATAATGGGTTTTATGTTGAGGCCTTGAAGCTTCTTTACCAGATGAAGGCAGCTGCTATCGAGGTGACTGAATCTTTGCTGAACAGAGTCAGGATTGCATGTGGCACTGGTACTCTAGAGAACACTGTTCGGGGAACTCTGGTGTAGATTGTGATCTTCAGTGGCTAGTGCATTGCAGGTTTGTACATAGAGGCTTTATCACTAAACGTGTCAGGTGGGGTATCATTTGGGCTTGTACATACAAACTAAAGCAGATGAAAGGAGGTTTGTGAATATTGTTGAAAGGAAAAGTTGTGAGTTTTTTTAGTACCTTGCAGCAGAAACAGCAGCATGATCAGATGATCTGTGGTGACAAAGTAGGGTGGGTTCATCTACTTATCATTCTGTAGCACTGAGAAAGTACTTCAAGTAAGCACCCGCACAACTGAATTAAAATTCCATGTTGTAGCTTGTTTTGCAGTTCTGTCTTTCCAAGTGATGGTTTGATTCTTTTGATCTGATCTCTACTATTTTTGTTGGGGGTACTGTTCACTTTCCGCCACCACCCTCTGGTCTGGTCATTTCCTTTTTATTCAGTTAGAATCTAGGACTTGTTTCTGTTTGTACTGCTCATCTCTGACAAACTGTTGGAAAAGCTCCAGAACTGGCTAGACATACTTGATCATTGTTTCTGTGAAGTTCAAAGTGGTAAAATAAATAATAAGGCTGTTGAGATCCGTGCACGCTTATGAATATCAGTTGTCTTAGACATATTGGTTTACCGTGCTGTTTTAACTGACTTCTGTGATCTTGTGCTGTGCTTCAGTTTCTTAATAATTTTCTAACCTAGATTTATGTTGTACTACAGGGGGTAATTGAATTTGTTCCACCATTTCTTACATTGCTTGCAGTTACAATGTCGGGCAGCTGATTCTAATACACAGTAATTGGTACTACGAAGATAATTCTTGCCTTATAATTACTTGAATGAAGAATTTGAGTGAGTAAATGATATCTGTAAATGAGTTAACAACATCTGCTGTGCTCACTGGCAATTTCAAGATATTGAAACTGAGATAAAGCTTGGCTTGTAGCTTGTTTGATGTCGGTACTATGGATAACAGATTTTCATTGTTCAGATACTCCGTCCACTCGTATGTATGGACCGCTCAATACCAAGAGTTATTCTGGTTCAGATTGATAATTGGCACGGATTCTTGCTTCTCTCTGAACAAGGATGAGTCATTGTGATTCCAAGGAAATTACAAGTCAAATCCTGGTCCCATGTGGTATTTGGATGCCAAAGGTACTGTGAGTCTCTGTTCATTTCATTCTTTATCCATCATGTTTTTCAAACAACTCTAATTAGAAATGGATTTATCATATATATGATATATGGGTGAACATTAGGTATATGATTAAAATGTAAGGGGGCCAGATTCCTTTATCTTTTGCTAGCGGGGTGCATTCCATGAGTAAGCGTCAATGGTTTGATAATAACTCTGCATAACTGACACTGACTGATGGGATTGTTCATTGGTTAGAAATAGGAAGAAAATCTGATCCACACATTACAGATACTTGCAACAGTGATGATCTTCTTACCACTAGATGAATCCTGTGGGTTAGAACGAGTTATAGATAGAATGCCATGCATTATTGGTACAACGACGCAGTGAAACAACTAGGCCTAATTGGCTGTCCTGTTTCTGCAGAGTGATATGCACAGAACATTTACCGGCCTCGTTGATCTAGTGCACTAATTGGCTGGTGAGGATCCGCTGATGAAAATGGTGGTTCTCAGATCAGATCACAATTGGGATACAGTTTCACCTCCTTCATTTCATCCATGGCTTCTGGGTGAGACGATCAAACTTTTGAGCTGTTGATTCATTTTGGGTCAGTTTTACAGGATGATAAAGTTGTTATCATGTTGCTTGCAGTGATGAACTTATAGTAAAGTTTGCGTCTTTTTTTGAAGGAACCCAATCACAAAGCATGAGAATTTAAGCTACCATGAGCCAATGAAATATGGACACTAAAATTTGATCTTTTATCCCTCATCTCTATTCTATCCTGTTCCTGTCTCACTCACTCATTAACCTCACCGACGGGCCACCGCCATCACTGCAAAACAGCTAATTTTTTTTTTTTATATAGGACAAAACAGCTAATTATGGCATGGCCGAATGTGTGGAATCTGCACAATGCACATTGTTATCGTCTGTTTTATTTTCTGCTGTAAATTATGATTTGTTGATAACATAATTATCACTAAGGCTCGAAATGTATAATTTTGGTCACATAGTATATTTGTATAATTGGAACCAAATGGTGATTTGTTGATAACATAATCTGCACATTGTTCATATGTTTCCCTCTCTCTCTCTCTCTTTCCATGGCTCTTTCTCACTCTCCATGTAGTTGCAAAATATAACCCTTGTTATGATTGAGTTCACTTACCATATCTAAGTAATAGAATTAGAATACAAGGAATAGAGAGATAAGGGTGGTTTGGTGGGTTATACCTTAATCATGTACCCTATCATCCTAATACATGCACCCATATTATTTGGGTTGAGTATGTTATTCAAAGTACTTATACAAGGCTACAGCTTTGCAATAAGAACATATAAGAATCCAGAAGTGAATTAACGTCATATACAGAGAAACCATTATAATATTGCGAACAAGGATTTGATCTAGTGGTACTATCACTGGTCTTCAACCTGAAGGTCTCAAGTTTAAATTCATCGTAAAACAAACAAACAAAAAAAGTATTAAGTGATGACAGGTTAGTACACATATTACCTAAATCATATGTGTGTAGGAGCATGGCAGGTATGGACACAACCTAGGTTCGGTAATGGCCAGACTCCTACCATATCTACGTGCTACATTTTGCATCGGGTAATACTCATGTTCGAGATTATGGGCTGGATTGTCATCCCTAGAAATAGTCATTGATAGAAAATGAACTAAAAGAAAATGGGAGAGAGAAGGGATGGTATGTGTGCGAGACTGCGAGGGTGATGGGTGTACCATTTTATTACGATTCAAGGCTCGTATGTGGTATTTGAGAATAAGGTATTTATGACTTATTTCAAATAACTACACTCATGATGTTATTTGAAATAACTACAAATATGAGTCAATTTAAATAACTCACCCAAAAAAATCGTTTGTTAGTTGTTTGTCAAACGAGTTATGAGCTATTTTAGCTAAAATAACTCATCAATCGAGCCGGTAAGTAATCTCTTGGTAGATTTTGAAATTCATGAAAAGATTTGTTACATTGACCATGGTTCGGCGATCATGAAGGGTATTAACCCTTGCCAGCTGTCCCTTAAAGTTTCAGATGTCGACTACTGAAATAATTTCGTCCAATAATGTCATCGACATTTCCTTTATAAATCGTTGTCCTATTCATCAAAACGAGTGAACACGAACAAGTAGCAACAACCTTGCTTGTTAATTAGGCAACATCCAAAGGTCTTACAGCCAGGGGCGGACCCACGGGTGTTTAGGGGTGTCCCCGGACACCCCTAAATTTTGGGAAAACGATTATCCAACCCCCGATGGTAATTTACGTATTGACAAAAAAATTATAACTGATAGTCGGGGACACCCCTAAATCTAAAAAAGTGATTATCCTACTCTCATCTTTTAGTTTGAGTATTAGAATATAAGTGAATGTTTGGGTAATTCAAACCTATGACACTTTATTTTAATAAACATAATTTCCATTAGGCTACAACTCATATGTTATTCGATTTTAAACACTGCGTAATAGTATAATGTCATTCTCTATCTTTAATTATTTTCAAAATCTAACAATTAAACAAATTTTAAGCTATTCTTAATTTGTATTGATTTATGGTTGCACGACAAGTGTTGAAAGAGTCTTTTCAGCTTTGGATTACATCAAAAACAAGTTTAGAAATCGAATATGTGATCAATTCGTGAATGATTGTCTAATATGATATACGGAGACAAATTTTTTTTTGAACAGTGTAGACCCCAAGTGTGTTCTACAATCATTTTTTAATATGAAAACACATCGTGAATTTTTTCAAGCTATATGACTGTATGAGTAAGGTATTTCTTATTTAATATTTTTTTTAATTACTTAAAATTATTTGTATTTAATTTAGTTTTTAAAAGAGGACGCCCCTATGTAAAATTTCTGGGTCCGCCATTGCTTACAGCTCATGTATGTAAAATACTAAAATCTAATCTGAAAATTTATGAAGCAACCAATATACCTACCACCCCATGTCAGAGGATTAGACTACCTCAAATGATCCCAAAATATTTGAACATCTTGGCCCCAAAAAATCCCTTCAACCTCTGAATATGTGTTTACTTTTTGTGATTTGATACTACTAAAGAGATTAGAATCTGATACCTCCACATCCAAAACTAATGGTATTATCTCTGGCTTAATGCATAAATTATTGCTATCAATTCTGCTGCGTTTAATTTAAAATGAGTCATTTGATCTCCTAGCAGTGCTTGCATAGATTATGAATCATTACGATACTAGCTTTTGGCATTGTATTGTCTCACATCTCCCCATAGTTTACTTCCATTGCTTCGTCGATAACAAGAACAGGGTTTTGGCCATTTCGTTGACATCTCCGACCAGAACATAGAAGAAGAAACCGTGGGAAGAAAACTGCATGCCTCGAGTAATCAGCCGGCTGCACACCCAAGAATGCTACGTAACTTCAAGAAAGCGACTCCAATGGTCACCGGCTCCGGCAACAAAACAACGAAGGTCGGCGTATCTGGTGCTTAAAAGTCTAACTAATATTGGGTAGTGGAGATTCAAGCACGCAATCACTTGGTCAGACGAACTCGGATACTATGTCATAAGTCGTTTGATCTCAATAATTCGAATTGTTAAGACAATTTGACCTGATTGTGTCAAAATGGTCTCGTTTCACAATTGATGCTTCATTTCAAAATACTTGTCCCTTATCTGTCAATTCAAATTGATGCAAAACGACGTAAATTAAATTGTCTCATCCCCCAATTGTCGTATTCCCATTTCGTGTTGCAAGACGAAACAATTCAATCCAATTGTTTTAAGGGAACCAAATTAACTCTCACACTTATGGAGAAACTTCATCGCCGAGTGATTTTCATGTTAATCACGACGTTGTCCTCCTTTCTACCAGTTAGTGATGGCAATTTTAACCCGCCCCGCGGGTATTACCCGACCTTACCCGTGATGGGGCGGGTATTACCCGACCCGCAATAGCGTGGGGCGGGGCATGGGTATCTACTTCCGACCCGCCCTGTCCCGCCCCGTTCTAGACTCATTTTATTTCAATTTCTTACAATATCTATAAATATTTCTCCTATTTTGACTTTTCTTCAACTAATTAGAGTCGATATTTCAACTTGTTATGCTCAATTATCCATTCTATTATCAATATTTTTCATTCTTAAAGTATTTATCCCTACATTATATTGTAAAAAGTAAATTTTACTTGTATTTTTTTGAACAACATGTAAGAGTGGATCGACCCGCCCCGCCATGTACCCGCGCGGATTTTACCCGCCCGACCCGTAGTAGCATGGGGCGGGGCATGGGAATTGAGGTACCCGCCCCGCCCGCCTCATTGCCATCACTACTACTAGTTGCTCCTCTTCATGGGGAAACGAACCGGAGAAAGAATTATTTGGCTTAATTGCAAGTTTGGTCACTCGAATTGTTACAAAATTTCACGTTTGCCACTCAAATTAATTTATTCCATTTATAGTCACTTAAATTAGGTTAACAGTCCAAGTTTGGTCACTGGCCGTTAGTCTCCGTTAACTTTTGCTGATGTGGCGGTCAACTCTTATAGTTGACCGTTAAATGCATGACGTGGCAATTAAAAAAATTTAAATTTAAAATTTAAAATTTTAAAATTTCCACCTCAACTACGGCGGTTACCTTCCGACGTTTCCGCGTCGGAGGAGAAAATATTGTGGTTCCGGACTGCGCTTCCGCGTTCTGGTTGAGCGGGGTAGAAGAAGATGCCACCGCCGGAGAGGTGGCGTTCCGGCTAGGCGCCTCCCGGAGCTCGATCCTCATTCCCCCTTTTGCCCTCCCCTGTTCCCGATCTCGCCCAGCTCCGTCAATTTGGTGAAGACTTTCGCGCCGCAGGACTGTTCTTCTTCAGCGGGAGAGGAGGATGGGCAATTCGATTTGGTGGAGATGGTTAATACGATCTTCCCCGCAGGGGATTACGAGTATTACTGATGAGGTCCTTGGCTGAATCCGAAATCTTGGGCCATGGTGTGCTCTGCAAGTCCAGATTCGTCTCCAGAATTGCGTCGAATATCCCTTTCTCGGTCTCTAATGAACACAACAAGAACAATGCGTACAGATTATTCGCCATATTTTAGTTTCATTTTAGACTCCCAGCAAAGACTTGTTCGTAGAGGTGATTTTTTTCCCCCCACCAAATCAATGAATTCGATTTTCACAAGAAGTAAGCTATTATCGGTTATGGCGCGAAAGTCTACACCAAATTGACGGAGCTGGGCGAGATCGGGAACATGGGAGGGCAAAAGGGGGAATGAGATCGAGCTCCGGGAGGCGCCCAGCCGGAACGCCACCTCTCCGGCGGTGGCATCTTCTTCTACCCCGCTCAACCAGAACGCGAAAGCGCAGTCCGGAACCACAATATTTTCTCCTCCGACGCGGAAACGTCGGAAGGTAACCGCCGTAGTTGAGGTGGAAATATTAAATTTTAAATTTTTTAATTGCCACGTCATGCATTTAACGGTCAACTATAAGAGTTGACCGCCACATCAGCAAAAGTTAACGGAGACTAACGGTCAGTGACCAAACTTGAACTGTTAACCTAATTTAAGTGACTATAAATGGAATAAATTAATTTGAGTGGCAAACGTGAAATTTTGTAGCAATAGGAGTGACCAAACTTGCAATTAAGCCGAATTATTTTCTTCCACCTTTCCTCTTCCTCTTTCTTTTGGCTGTAGTAAAGATGGGCCTGAACCGACCAACATATTGGTGTCAAAATAGAACCCGACCCGACTAACCCGTCCGATCAACTCGATCCATAACCCGAATTGACTAAAAGTCAACAACCCGTAACCCGTCCGACTCGCAACCCAATTCACCCGCAACCCGATTAGATCCATAACCCGAACCCGATTGACTTGAACTCGGCTAACCTGTAACCCGACCGACTCAACCCGAACTTCACCTATTACACTTGAATAATTATTATATTATATAATACATAGTTTTTCAAAATAAAGTTTTTCATTCTAAACTTAGGTAATTTCTTTTTTCTTCATATACCGTATAGAGAATTTAAAAAATATGAAACTCACTTGATATTATGTATTTTAAGAAAATTAAAAAAATTGAAACATGGAGGTCACTTGAACACTAAGTTCTTTAACAAAAATTCAAAAAGTAAATATAATATATAAAATCAGCACAATATCAATGTTAATAATGAAAAATTAACAATTGAGATCATGAAAAATATTGATCTAATATATAAATTAAAATTTTGGGTAATTTAACTATTCAATAAAGTTATTAATTAAATATAAATAAAGTAAAGTAATATATTTGATAATTTGATACTTTTAAATGAGAGAAATTTTGGTGTATTCAACTCTTTGGGAATAGAAGAAATAGGAAAATTTGATTCTTTGAATTTTTTAGAAAAAAAAAACAATGGGTGGTTTTGGTGGTTTTGATTTGTGGGAAGAGAAATAAGTGGAAAAATTTGGTTCTTTTGATTATGAAAGAGAAATAAAGAGAAAAAATTCATTAAATTAACTATTAATTACAACAATCATTTGGTTTAGAAAAATTCACTAAATTTGTATGCTTCCACATTTATTGCACGTGGTTAGGGTATAGGGTATATGATCTAGAGTATAAGATATATGGTTAGAGTATAGCAAATATCAATTTTTGTTATCTAAGTTTTGAAAATTAAAGTATTAATTTCACTTTAAATTAACTATACTAGCAAAATCACAACTCATAAGGATATATGATTAGGGTATAGAGTATGTGGTTAGCGTATACTGTATTGATGGTTTAGGGTATACGATAATAAAATATACTAACTTAATATTGTCGATTGAGGGTAAGGTTAATTGTATAGGATATATGTTATTGATTAAGTTATGATTGAACTCACAATAATTTTACTAAATTTTATAGTTAATCTTTAATGGTTCAATTTTTAGGGTAATTCGAACAATTTTTACAAATAACTTGTTTGGCAACAATTTACTGAAGTTATTTGGGCAATGAGTTATTTCGAAATAAATCCTTTTACCACACTCCTTTTGCCAAATACCACACGTCAAATACCAGATTTGCATGGTTATACTAAACGAGATACTTTAATCCAATTACTATTAGCTAGTGTACTTTACCAGTTACGATTAATTACATAACAAGTTTGCAAGTCATACAAATTGATTCAACATTTTGACTAGTTTTTTTTAATTAAGTACATATACAAGGTAGAAAGAAATTGGTTTAAAATTGAGAAAAATATCATAAATTAGTATAATAAAATGTGTCCCACAAAAAAAAAGTATAATAAAATGTGTAAGTTGGTAACGAGTAAGGAGTAAGTTACTCGATGCGCTGACCCGAACAACCCGAAACCCGATCCGCACGACCCAAAACCCGATGAACGCGCAACCCGATTGAACTCGAACCCAATGAACCCGCAACCCGAATAACCCGCAACCCGATTGAACTCAGCCCGAACCCGCCCGATTGACACAAGCATATGCCTCATATCCATTGGGCCAGACTATGGTCGTGGTAAAACTGGAAATGGGCAAACCGGCCCACATATTTGATTTCAGTCTTGTGGGCCTCCTACTACTCGGGACTCATGTTTCGGAGTTTATACAGCCAAGCAAGACACTTTGGATCCAGGGGCAGGCAAGACATTTTCATTTCTAACATATATAACCATAGAGAGAAACTGAAACACCCAAAATTATTCTATTAGAGAAAAACACTCAAAATTTTTGTACTCCCTCAGATCGTTCAAAACTCTAAACAAGATACAGAAACGAGTTTTGATAATCATAGACCCACAGCCAATACCATCTAAAGATAATCTCGACGAACATGGCCTTTCACTACAACAGATTCCAATCCGCAAGCAGCTGACACCAAATGAGTAGATAATTTGATTCATTGGTTTGATCTTAAAACCATGGATGGAGCTCGAACCTAAAGGAGCAGAGAGTGAAGTTAATCTGACCGCCGATCCGGTCCGGGCAAAGATTGATCACCTTGTCAGTCGCACCCGTCAAGCACTGTCTGCACCTCGGCAGGGAGTTCGACTCACAAATCGCCCCGCCGCTGACGGAAGTGGTGGAATTGACGGTGCACTCTGCCGTCTTCCGCTCTTTGGACCTGCTGACACGGTCGTCGTTGTTCTCACCGTTCAACTCGCCGGCAACCTGCTTGACGCACCGGGTGACGGCGGCGTCGACTATCGTGTTGCACAGATGTTCCTCAGCGTTACAGCTGCCACACATAATCATAACAGCAACTAAACCAACTAGGATCAGAAGCAGAACTGCTGCCATGATTTCCCAAGATATGAGATCAGATTGATGCGCTCTGGCTATTTATGGACACTGTTTTTTGTGTCTGTTTCTCCGTTGGATTATACTCTGCTTCTTTGATGGCGTATGGGACAAGGGTATGGATCGAGGTTGGAAAGTTGCGTGCAGGCAGAGAAGAGACGGTCTTGTATGGGGATCTAATCTTCGATTACTCCGTCTCCAGGTATAAACTGGGAAAAGTTAACAAGAATCAACCCTGGAGATTGAAGGAATTGTTGTAGCAAAGGTGAAGATGAGCCTAGCAAACTCTATGTTACAGCCTACTAGAGAACCAGTCAGCTCGTTCTGAGTCCACTGTTCCACCAAAAGAGGAAGAAAAAGCACATCCGATCCCTACGGGGAGCCAAACTTTGTTTTCAGGAGTTTCTCCTCACAATCCCCTCAAACATACCATCCACAAAAGAGCTTCTGAGTTGGTCGGGAAGAACTGGACCGGGAAGCCTGAACTTGATGCTGAAGGGTCCTGGAGGGCAGAGGTTTCGGGTCTCCATGAAGAAGACTTGAGGCGGTTTCTCAACAACCTGCTCCCCAGTGGTGCTCACCCCGTGTATCTCTACCATCCCGGTTGGATCTACAACACAACTGAAGCTATCTGTTCATGGAGATTCAACTCATCAGGAAGCCATACGAGACAAGTACTACAGGCGTTCAAATTTCCAATCATCACGCTGCAAAGTTTGGCAATGAGATAAGGTACAAACGAAACAGAAGAGCATGACACTTACTATCATTTCCGGACACTCCAGGCAGAGAGATGCGGAATATGTAGAACCCGTCACTCTCCCCAATGTTCATTTGTCCAATACCTGAACCAATCTTCTGTACAGCTGCAGCCCCGGAGAGGGCAATAGCTCCTCTGTTTCTGTTCAAGATGTTTGCAAACTCTGCCTCAGTTGTTCCATTGGGAAAGAAGACCATGGATGGGTCTTCTGTGTTTGCAGGTTCGACCGGGGGGTCATCAGCACCAGCATCAACATTGTTATCAGCACAAGCAGCATTAGCATCATCATTTGCTACAAACGGGTTAAAATAATTCAGGGGTATAGCATTCAGAGGAGGCACATTGTAGACATGCCCAGGATCATTTGCCTCGGGATGATTGTGTGTACGCTTGCCAGAAGACCTGGAGTTACATCAGCTTATCAGATGTAATGTCTTAAAATCGAGAAAGTACAGGATTGATCGAGTATGCATAAACTGCATGCCAACATGAGAAACGAAGAGCTACATGAGAACAGAGAAGAAGTCTAAAGGCCTTAGTGAGCTATAGGGCTGTATGCAAGATATTATCATTCATGCAAAGGGAATAATGAAAGGTGAGGTTTATTGTGAGAAAACCCCGTTTATTATCTTCGAACAATTTGCACCGGAAAGACATAGCGGAAACCTCGTAATCATTAGCTGAACCGAATGCTCATACGGATATTAACAGAAGGAAAATATGAAAATCACATACATTAGAAGGAAAATGAGATGCAAGCTCTTGCTAGACCTTTAAACAGAAATTGTTAACCATAACTCATAATTTTTCATAATCTCATGGGAGAGTAGTGCCCAGCAGATAGGTGGGCATATCAAGAACATGTAGGCTTCCAGATCAAAGACAGAAAGAATATAGCAATTGAAACCTACACCAATATTTGAATTGAACAGGGAAATATAGAATTAAAAGAAGCCTGTACAAAAGATCAGCTACAGTACTGTGTCACTGAACCTCAAAACCCCGAAATCACTAGCGAAAGCTCCTGCTTTCCTCATGTTTCTTTGGCAGGGATTGGGGACTAAGATGTCAAATCTTTTGAGATCTGATAATCCTCAAGAGTCAAGAGAGAGAACTGTGATGGGAACAGCGGCTGGACTTTACCAGAGCTACATAGCAGAAAAGTAACGGTCCACAAGAGGAAATTACTAATCAGTCCCTTGTTTTGATTTACAGTCACAACTTCCTTACCATCTATACTGTTCCTTTTAATGGTATTATCAAGGTGCCACCATTTATACTTTTCAAACAAGAATCATCGCCCCCCCAACTCTCCCAAGCAAAGTTTCCTTCACATTTTGCACGAGACAGATTGTTTCTACCAAACAGTAAAGCCACTCTTTCTAAGAAGATAAGTTAATGCTGCAAGCATGACCTTCTCATGTAAGGTGACAGTCGTTTTCTCTGAAATCACACATGGCACAAAGAATGGATAAACAACACAAATCCACACAGCTAAAAATGAGGAGCACAGGTATGACTCGTAGAGTAACAAGGTTGGAAAGAAGTACTAGCCAGATAGGAAAATTTTGATTTTTCTTTCTGAAGATAAAGGACAAAGCACTAAGCAGAATCAACAAAACTTATTAGAATGATGATTGAAAAGAAGCCGTAGTTTTATATAAGGTCACATTTCCATTGTAGGCACATTTAGTGCGATTGTATGACTCTACCATTCCATCAGCTTAAGAGTTACCCTACACAGAACTCAACTCATACAGATTCCGACGTTGATGCCAAGTTATTTGAAGAATCAAGTTACCGGCCTAGACTCATATATTGAATCCAACAGCCAGCATTGGGACAGCGGCTCTCCTATCGATGAATGGAACAGCACCCAATTTGATGAAACAAAACCATGCTCACTGTTAAACCTACACCCTTACCAATTGCTTTCTTTGAGCAACATTTCAAACCCTCGAAGACAAATGCACATCGTTTGAAGCAAATTGCACAGAAACACAACTCCACACTGAAAGAACCAGTGAGCATTGACCATGCCTGCCAACCACGCTCGCTACTTCAATTTCTGGCTGGAGCAGAACAATGCCAAGATACTAACAGTTGCCGCGCGGAATCATAGTTAAGCCACCAAATTCAAGTGCGCAAACACAGTAGATAACAAACTAACCCTAGAGACATCCCAGACGAACAAGGCAGTTGAATGGCGGGTTAGGTTTTCGAAATAGACCCTGAACATTGTTAGAGAGTGGTATAAGATCCACGATTGAACCTCTCCCAACAACTCGAGTTATTGGGAGCAACTGGTTCTTGACATGGTATCAGAGCCTAGAACTGAAATGTCATGTGTTCGAATCTCCACGACCCCCAATATTAATCGTTGTCTTTCAAGCACATGGTATGGTGGGCCTGTGCAAACTTCAAGTCCATGAGTTGGCTTTCGTTTGAGGGGGCGTGTTAGAGAGTGATATAAGATCCACGATTGAACCTCTCCCAACAACTCGAGTTATTGGGATCAACTGGTTCTTGACAAACATAACTTCAAAAGCTGATGATCAATCTTCTGTATACACAACAAGAAGTACCTTACGGGAGTAGCCATCGGGAGGAAGATGTCACCAAGGAGCTCAATGCAAAACTACTTCGAGGTTCGGACGCCAGAGGAATTTCACCCCTAACTGGTTGATTCTCAGTCCATGTCGCTGCTGACCTCCTTCCTCCAAGTTCCCCCGCTAGTCTAACTGCATAGGAAGAGAACCGAAGTCCCCCCGCCCCCCTTTTTTTCCTTCTAAAAGCTCTTGCGTATATATTTTTTTATTATTATTGTTGGTAGGCCCGCGCTGGCTGTAGTAAAGAGGGAGCTGGGCCGTCCAGCTGGCCCATATTTGTTGGGCCGGGCCATAATTATCTCGGGAATTACTCAAAACTTCAAATTTCTCATGGCAAAAAGTCTTTTGAGTTCACTTTATTTTACTTTGGTGAAGGTTAAAATCGGGGATGTCAATCCAACCCGTAATCATGGGTATCCTACCCGATCGTAACCGATCAACGAGGATAATTACCCGCTTTGACGGGTTAAGGGGCGGGTACGGGTAATACCCGGTTTCAAAATAAAGGGTAGGGTACGAGTATGGTAGTCGATAATACCCGTCCCGTTATACCCGCCCCGCTAACCAAAGGGTCAATTTCCCTTGAGAAATTTAGTTTAGCTTGAGAAATTGAGTTTAGCTACCATTATTGATGATGAAGATGTAGACGATTATTATGTTTGTGTGGATTGTAGAAGCAAGAAAAATTATTATGTGTTTGCTATTTTTATTTGTGTGGATTTTTAATGGACAACAATATGTATGTGCATATATGTGTATAAGTACATAGTTTAGGATTCGTACCCATGGTTACCCGAATACCCGTGGTTACCCGGTGGGCAGGGGTATGGTTATATAATTTTCATACCCAATGGGTATTTAGCACTGTAAAGGAAACCGTACCGGACATCATACCGGATTCCTTTCTGGTATGGTATTTTGTGGTACGACCGTGGTTCAACCATTTTGTACCGGTAAATACCGTTTTTCACTATTGATAGAGAAATGAAATGCGATAGTATAAAAAATATAATCCATCAAAAAAAGAACCAAATAAAGCATTATACAACCACGGTGACCCATTTTCAACATAGAAAAATAGCAAAATAATATTCTTTTTTAATTATTTTCCACATATTGAACGAGAATACGGAGAATGAAGCTGAATCATAGACCAGGAAACCGGATCGTACCGGCCGGTTCAACCGGTTCAACCGGTCAAACCGAAAAACCCGGCCGACACGGTAAAATCAGCACAATCAGCCCACCGTGCCGCTTTTGGTCCAATTTCCGGTTAAACCGGTTGAACCGGCCGGTACGATCCGGTTTCCTGGTCTATGGTATTTAGTCGGGTATTTTAGAAGGCTCTACCCGACGGGTTAGGAGTTGGTATAAGGTAAACCCGCACCCGATCCTACCCATTGCCATCCCTAATTAAAATTGCTTTGTATTTACACCACAAAAACTCATTTTCATTCCATCGCTATCTAACTTTTCTCTTTCTTTCATCAGTCATTCTAAACTTGGTAGATTAACATATTAGTGGTTCAACAAACCTGTTTTGACCTTATCAATGACGGAGCTAGGAGAAAGGTTGTGGGGACTCCATACCTAATTTGAAAGATGAACACATGGATTCTTTTTTATCAAGATAATAGCTTTTATTTTGAGACAAACATTGCATTTGATTTACTTTAGACCCCATTAAACTACATTTTTTTCGTTAGGTCAATGAAAATTATCACCTTTTTTCTTCACAATTATTGTGGGTTTCCCCGACGTGCACCCTGGCCGTGCAAGTCCGGGAAACCCGGTTTATAAGCAGATTTCAGCCAAATTGAGGGGGGGTTCGAGTTTTAGAGAGACAGAGTGATTCATAGAGAGAGAAAGCGACGAACAAGAGCCTCCAAGTGCCCTAGATCGATCTTCAACACCATTGGAGCTTGGTTTGAGCTTGGAGAAGTGCCGATTCAACGTCCAGGAGCAGAAATCCATCTTCACAGTATGATTTCCGCGACTGATTCTGCTTTTGCTTCTCTCTCCATGGAGTAGTTCTCCCATTCATCTGGGTGTGGGAAACCCTAGTTCTGTATGTTAGGTTTGATTGTATGAACCCAAGTATTGATTCTATGATTTGATTATATTCGATTGAGGTTTGAATGATTGAATGACTTGAATCCTGATCAAATTCCTGTTGTTTCTGCTTTAACCTAGAATGATAATATCTGCCTAGGTTAATAGAGTATCCTTGATTGAAGGTAGTGAATTGGTGACTTTAGTCGATGAGCCAATCACTATTCTGTACCGAATTCCATTCGGTAGTGGAGGTTTTGTTCATAGGGCCTCAATCTGTTTACTCCGGTGTAGGTTAGTCGCCAGCTAGAGACTCAGATTGAGAGGGTCTGAAGACCTTTAGTCGAGACTTCAGACTGATTAAGAACCTTCCGCAGTATAACTTTCATAGAAATCGAACTTGGCAATTACAATCCGGCTTAACTGCAGACTAGGGGGAACCATATCCGGGTGACCTCTCTTAACCTGAATACAACCGTTTTAGTTACTTTGCTTGCTTGTTAGTTTAGAACTTCACTAAAGTTTCATTGCTAGATAATACGAATTCACTGAGTAGTCATCACATCTAGGACCCGGGTTGACATTAAAACCCAAACCCGCTATACTACGCTTTAGGAAGTGGTTACACTTGGCCAATTTCTAGAGTGACAGTAACAGCGAGTCAAGTTTTTGGCGCCGTTGCCGGGGACGGCTAGGTTGTTGAAGAAAAGTGATTTCTGTTACTCTAGCTTTTCTGTTCGCTTTGTTTGCTTTGTCCCACTTGTGCCTTCACGGGTTTGCTTGCTTGAGTGTGTGCAGGTAGTGCATGACCCGTAGCCAGTCAGGAGGGTTACTGCCGTTGGATCCAGAGCTTGAACGCACTTGCCGCCAACTTAGGAGACAGCAGCGAGCTAGACTGGTTACGGGAGAGCGCATAGACGGCCACTTAACCAGCGATTCTGAGGAAGAGTACGAGATGGAGGGCGAAGACATTCCACAACCGGGGAATGCTCGACAGGTTCCCCCGGTGAATCAGCATCCACCACCACCGCCGGGTCCCACCTTGGAGTACTACTACACTCCACGGATTGCTGACATCCACCCGGTCATCCTCTATCCACCCGTCCCAGCAAATAAATTCGAGATCAAGCCAGGCTGGATTCAGCTCATCACATCCTCTATCCAGTTCCATGGCTTGAAGGATGAGGAAGCCCGGGCACACCTTTCCCGTTTTCTGCAGCTGACGAACGGGTTCAAGCTGAATGGTGTTCCGGATGAGGCAATCCGCCTTCACCTCTTCCCCCATTCTCTGACGGGGAATGCTAAGAGGTGGTTGGAGACCCAGCCCCCACTGTCCATCACTTCTTGGGACGATCTGGCGGATAAGTTCGTGCACAGATATTATCCGGCATCGAAGACTACTGAGATTCAGCGGGAGATCACTCACTTCCGCCAAGAGCCAGATGAGTCCCTTCGTGATGCATGGGAGCGGTACATGGGATACTTCTGGCAGTGTCCCCATCATGGCTTCAGCGATGCTTTCACAGTGGGGAACTTCTACAGTGCCATCACCCCAGACAGCCAGAGGGTGATCGAGTCTCTATGCCCAGGAGGGGATATCCTTACTAAGACTCCACCCGAGCTGAACCAGATGATCAGTACTTTGGCTGCCCGCGATCATTCCTGGGGGCAGAGCAGCAGAGGCAGGCACTCCCGGGACCGTGGTGTGCACGCCATGGAGACCAGATCCGGGCTCGAGCAGCAGGTAGCTGAGCTAGTGCAGGCATTGAAGCAGCCCAACAGTCTTATTCCGGGCAGAAGTTTGGCTACACCTCCAGTTGCTCAGTGTCAGTGGTGTGAGAGCCCGAATCACCTCGTGGAGGATTGTCAGTCTATGAGGGAGTCTTCTACTCCCCAAGAGCAGGTGGACTTCATAGCAAATGCTCGGCGCCTGGACCCATACAGCAACACCTACAATGAGGGATGGCGCCAGCATCCCAACTTTGCCTGGAGCAATAACACCGCCAAGCCACCTGGTTTCCCAGCACCAGCAGGTGGTTTCCAGCAGAGGCAGCCCTTCCAGGCTAGGCAGGGGCCACCACCACAGCAGCAGCCTTACCAGCCTAGGCAAGGGCAGCCATTCCAGCAGCCTCAGCGTCAGTATGCCGAGCCAGCAGCAGCACCAGCTCCCGATAATCAGATGACCAAGCTTGAGAACATTTTGGCAGCATTCATGACCACCAGCCAGGCAAATATCGCGAGGATGGATCAGGCCATAGCTTCACTGGAGGCAGGCCAGAGGAACCAGGGTGCCATTCTGCAGGATCTCCAGCACCAAGATAGGGGACTTAGCTCGCCAGAATACTACCAGGGCACCGGGGACTCTGCCTGCCACCACTGTCCCCAATCCTCGCGGCCCTCACGAGACTGCCCATGCCATTTTCACCAGGAGCGGCAGGCCTACATCAGCTGATCCTGCCCCGACCAGGCAGGAGGAACCACTACCTGCTTCAGCACTTCCAGCCGGTGATGCAGAAGTGCGGGTGGAGAAGGAAGCCCCTGCTTCCAAGCCACAACCAGTGGTGAAGGAGCATGTACCCCAGCTTCCCTTCCCCACTCGCCTCCATAAAGATAAGCTGGAGACTGAGTTTGCCAAGTTCATGGCAGTGTTGAAGCAGCTCAACATCAGCATACCATTTGTGGAGGCACTGTCGAAGATGCCCAAGTACGCGAAGTTCATGAAAGATCTCTGCACCAACAAGAAGAAACTAGGAGATCTCTCGACTAGTGCTGCTGAGCGAGGAATGTTCTGCCATCCTGCAGAACAAGCTGCCCGAAAAGCGCAAGGATCCAGGGAGTTTTACTATCCCTCTTACTATTGGCAGAATGCATATAGGAAAGTCCTTGGCGGACCTAGGAGCTAGCATTAATGTCATGCCATATAAATTGTTCAAAAAGCTAGACCTAGGTGAACTTAGCCCTACTAGGATGAGCATTCAGCTAGCTGATCGTTCCGTGGTGCATCCTAGGGGTATCATAGAAGATTTGCTTGTTAATGTGGGTGCATTCACATATCCTGTTGATTTTGTGATTCTGGATATAAATGATGATGTGGATGTGCCTTTGATTCTAGGTAGACCGTTTCT